ACAGAGACAAACTGCCGAGTGAGTTGAAGAACAGAAGTGCAAACAGAACGGAAACTAAAAGATACAGGAGGCTGAAACAATCCAGAATAAATTTATTTATATCACGGTAACCGTAAATATCGTTTGTATAGACAGTGACGACATTTTCGTTATCAATAACCATCATTGGCATATTTCCAAAACTGAACAGGTTATTTATAAGTTTTCTAATATTTTCAACTGGACTTTATCTGATATGATAACGTTTCCCTACGTGTGTGTATTTACAAATTCAGATGATTCTGTAGAAACAGCTACATTGGACATACCACCAGACAACAAACCGACGAACAAGGGCACACTTCCCTACGTCGTTTGGAAGGGGTTAGACAATCATACTTGGTCTAACAACCACAACAACAATTTTATAGGTACGTGGGATGTCCGGACAATGTGGGAGACCAGAAGGACCAGTCAAATAGCAACAGAAATGAGGAGATACAACTTGGCAGTACTCGGAATCAGCGAAACTCATTGGGCTCAAGCTAGACAGTAAATGTTGGGTACCGGAGAGGTACTGTTGTACTCTGGTCACAAAGAGGGAAATACTCCACATACTCACGGAGTTGCTCTGATGTTGTCCAAAGAAGCACGAAATGCGCCTATAGGACGGGAATCTCACGGATCCAGAATTATCAAAGTATCCTTCAAAACAGTGAAGGAGGGAACTACAATGAATGTTGTCCAGTGTTATGCACCCACCAATGATAGCAATGATGGCGATGAATATCAGTACTACTCGAGGCTGCAATCGATTGTAACGAAGTGTCTACGAGAGGACCTGACCAGCCTAATGAAAGACCTACACGCCAAAGTCGGAATTGGCAACAAGGGATATGAAGATATCATTGAACGACATGGATCAGGAGAGATGAACGGAAATGGTGACAGATTTGCAAATCTATGTGAATTCAACGAATTGGTCTTAGGCGGCACAATATTTTCACAAAAACGAATACATAAAGCTATATGGGTCTCACCGGACCACACTACGGAGAACAAGATAGATCACATTAGTATCAATTAAAAATTAAAAAGGACATTAGAAGACGTGGGGACCAGGAGAGAAGCTGACATAGCTTCAGATCACCATCTACTTGATGGTTGCCAATATGAAACGGAAGCTAAAGAAACACTTGACAACTGGAAAAACAGCACTACAAAGGTTTAATACAATTTTCTTCCAACATATTGACAATCTCAACGAATTCAAGATAGCTCTCAACAGTAGATTCCAAGCCTCACAGGATCTACTGGAAGAAGAATAAACTATTATGGAGGACAGTTGGAAAGGGATCATAGAAGTGCTAACTTCAACGTGTCAGGAGGTGCTGGGCCGCAAGAAGCATCATCATAAGGAATGGATCTTTATCGAAACCCTAGATAATATTCAGGAAAGGAAGAATAAGAAGACAGTAATTAACAACAGCCGAACAAGAGCAGCGAAAGTCAAGGCACAAGCTGAATATACTGAAGCAAACAAGCCAATGAAGGAATAGCATTAGAGCTGACAAGCAGAAATACGTGAGAGTTCGCAACGACAGCGGGAAAGCTGCAACAGAAGGAAATATAAGACAGCTATGACACGACGAAGAAACTGGCAAGAAACTATAATAAACCAGAGAGACTAATCAAGGACAAGGAAGGCAAGACATTCACTGAAATTCAAGGACAGAGGAACAAATGGGTGGAACACTTTTGAGAACTCTTGAATAGATCAGCTCCATTGAATCTACCGGCTATCGAAGCAACACCTACAGATCTTCCTATGCACGTCACAGCACCAACGACGGGAGAAATCAGGATGACCATCAGACAAATCAGGGATTGAAAAGCAGCAGGACCTGACAGTATGCCAGCTGAAGCTCTGAAGTCAGACATAAAAGTAACTGCAAGTATGCTTCACGTTGTATTCAGGAAGAACAAGTTCCGATGGACTGGGAAGAAGGACACCTCGTCATGATAGCAAAGAAAGATCTGAGCAAATGTGAGAACTACAGTGGCACCACACTACTGTCACCACCAAGAAAGATTTTCAAAGGAGTGTTGCTGAACCGGACGAAAGATTCAGTAAACGTCCAACTTCTAGATCAACATGCCAGATTTCATAAGGATCGGTCGTGTATAGACCGAATTGCGACATTACGGATCATAGTTGAACAATCATTTGAGTGGAACTCGTCATTATATATCAACTTCATTGACTATGATAAGGTGTTTAACAGTGTGTACAGGAAAACATTATTGAAACTTCTTAGACAACATGGTGTACCTGAGGAGATTGTCAACATCATCTGGAATTCATACGACGGACTACACTGCAAAGTCGTGCATGGAGGACAGCTGACAGACGCATTTTAAGTGAGGACAGGTGTCAGACAAGTCCGCTCACTCTCCCTCTTTCTCCTTCTTCTGGTGGTTGACTGGATTATGAAGACCTCGACATCTGACGCGAAGCACGGAATACAATGGACAGCTCAGAACCAATTAGACTACTTGGACTTCACAGATGACACGTTCACATATCTGGGCAGAACCATCGGTCAACAAGGAGGATCCGATGCAGACGTAAATGCAAGGATAGACAAAGGGCCTCATCCCTACTATTGAAGAACATAAGGAACTCAAAACAACTGTCAACCAATATCAAACTCATAATCTTCAATGCGATCGTTAAGACAGTTCTACTGTATGGAGCTGAAATGTGGAGAACTACCACAACCATCATCTAAATAGTACAAGTATTTGTAAACAATTGTCTACATAAGATAGTGAATGTCTTTTGACCGGATACCATCAGCATCAACCTACTGTGGGAGAGAACAAACCAACTTCCGGCTGAAGAGGAAATTAGGAAAAGACGTTGGAATTGGATAGGACATGCATTGCGGAAATCACCAAACCTCATCATGAGGCAAGCGCTAACTCGGAATCCTGAAAGGGGACGGAAAAGAGGAAGGCCGAAGAACACACTCCATCGAGAATTAGAAGCAGACATGAAAAGGATTTCCATGGCAGAGTAGGATGGAGAGCGCTGGTGGGTGGCCTATGCTCCTCCACACGAGGTAAAACGAATATGTACTTGGTTGTTTGCATCTTCTAGCTAATGTTTAGGACTACAGTTAATTACTGTCCATCTCCTTCATTCGCTTGCTTTCATTCACACTTTAGCACATATTCTCCTCATAACATTATTCTAAAAACTATAAATCCTTGTGCGTTCAGTGTCTTACTCTCCAACTTTTGACTTACTTTTCATGTTCAAACAACATTGATTCGAACCGTTATTATTCTAATCACTACTAGTACACCAGTCACCTTACTGTCAATTTATGTTTTTTCTACTTACTACGTTCAGTTTCGTAATCCTTCTTCATTATTACCATTCACTCATTAACTATTCGTTAAAATTTGAACAAAAGTCCTTATAAATCTATTAATTTGATGTTTTTCTTACATTTATACACACATTGTTGTATATTGGAGTAAACCCTCAAGACAAAATTGTTCACCACCACCACCATTCCCATGGTAGCCAGTGACCAACGATTGGTTCATACGCCATTTATTCTTTCAGGAGCCCATGTGCACCATTGGTACGGGATCCGGTTAAAGCGCTGGACATTCGCTTTTGGTCCTCTGATTTTTGTAAACAACACCCCCACTACGAGAAGGCAGTGAGTAGGACTTCCCTGACAGAGACTGTATACGCGTGGCCATGTGAGAGCATTTCGAAAGGGCCCACCCCACTTTCGGCCATACCAGGGCATTTGAGGGCGTAGTTGAATGTACTTTAATGTCGATAGATTAGAAGTCAACAATCACAAATGTATCAGATTTCATACTAATAAACTAGATATTCATCACTCGCATTAGAATGTTCAAGTCAGTGATATTAACAACAATGTAGTTTTACGTAACATGAATATGGTACAGAGAAAAATATCCTGTTGTTTACTATATGGAAAACGTCATTCGAATGGTAATATACATAAGAAAATAACTTTCATTTAGTGAGAAATAATTTCAAAAGAGTAGAAAAGTTAATTAATGTTCTAAATTGTATTCACGCATCAGACCTTCAAGTTGTTCATACTATACATCTAGATATGATATATTGAAAGTGACTAGTTTTATAATATTAACGTCTAGATGTTAATTTGTACTATAAAATGTACTGTGAAACAATAAAACAATGTTTACTTCAAATATTCCTTATTTTTTCAACATGGAATAAGATAACCATAAAATTTATTTATTGAAACCAATAAAGTTATCTAAAAGACGAATTAGGCATAATGAAAACATGATAAAGGTTAACTATTTAAAAAAAAACCCACCATGAATAGTTTTCCCATTCAACTATTATCTCCATTTATTTAGATAAAACAGAGCAAAATATCTCAAATACAACTATCTATAGTAGCTTGTATTAGAATAATAACATAATTTCACAAAACCCTATTATCAAAATAAACTTAACAGAAATAGTATTTTTAAAAAAGTCATTATAAATGATGGTCTAATCAAAAGACTCAAATCTAATTATACATAGGTATATTAGATACATTGTGTAACATGGAACTTGGTTTTATTTTTTTCTTATTTAGAAAACAAACAAGTAAACAAAGAAACAACAAAACCAAAACATGGAATGATCAACAAAGGATTTTTTTTCTTAAAGAAAATTTGTTTTACAAACAATATGAAGGCTAAAATATAAAATTGACATTATTTATAGAACATAATAATGGACAGGTATATCAAAACAAAACAAAAAAAAACGATAAGGAAACCAGTAAAGATGTAAAACAAAAAGGTTTAGTTTCATAAAGAAATAAAAATAGAAAATCACTTTGTCATACATATCACATGAATATGTTCTAAAGGAAAACATTCGGTAAAGAAAGAATTTCGGTATTTCAATGATAATAAATACCAGTTGAGAAGAAAAAAATTTATTAAAAGCTAACTGTATGTAGTGGTGTATTAGACATTGGAATAGGCTTTGCAGATCGTTGATTTGATGGAGATGTGAAGAATGATCGCATAACTAAGACTTGACCAATTCCAAATAAAATAATAACCAATGCTTGACCTAATGACCAATATAGTACACGATAATGAAGAAAAATTGCATTTGAATAAGATCGTGTTAAAAGTAAACGACTTTCAAACTGCTGAGTTATAGCCTTGGAAATTGTTGCGTGTAAATTATATAAACTCTCTGAAATCTGAAATTTCGAAGACATTTGTACAAAAAAAAAGAAGACAATGAGAAAAGAATTATCAGTTGTTGGATTATTATTTCTTTAGAAATGAGAGCTACAAAAACTTTAAGCTGTTCAACTTTGTACTATTTTAGTCAAATTTGCCCTACTCTAGTGGATTATTGGTTGTTTAACTTAGGTTAGTTCATGATCGTAATAACATTCAATAATTTCCACAAACCCCCGTGTACTGATAATGTGTTTGCCCCCAAATGCCCTGGTACGGCCGAGTGTGGGGAGTCCGCTCTCCCTCTCGAAATGCTCTCACATGGTCACGCGTATATAGCCTCTGCCAGGGAAGTCCTACTCACTGACTTCTTGTGGCAGCGGTGTTGTTTACGAAAATGAGAGGACGAAAAGCGAACGTCCGGCGCTTTAGCCGGATCACAAACCAATGGTCCACATGGGCTCCAGTATCCTGCGGGAACAAATGGCGTATGAACCAATTGTTGGTCACCGGCTTCCATGGGACTGCATCTCCTTACGATGCTCCACTGCCTTGTGGATCAGACCCTCAGGTCAAAGGCTCCGGGTGTGGCCCCCTAAGAAAATCACCTGTTTCAGTTTAGGCACCCGGGCAGTATCACAGCCCTCACACATATCGAGTGAGATTTGTGTGACGCATATGTATTTGGTGCCTCTTTGTACAAATATCTATGTGTTGAAATAAAATAAAATAAATTGCTAGTAACTAGTTTCCAGAGGTAATTTTCTGAAGCTCTTGTGAGAAGATATGATTAACGGAGTTCGAAAGTATCAGATGTGAAGTAGTTAATTACCAATGATATTGGGAGATGACTGTACAAAATCACGAATTGATTGGCGTTAAACACGTAAAACACTGAATGTCAGATCATAGGTTTAAATGTTAGGCGCTTTTCGCTAGACCTGAAGGTATTGGGTATGATAGCTCGTAGACTCTTGAATATTCACTACTGAGGAGTCCTGCACTAGGACGAGACAGCTCTCTAGTGTTTCCTAGCTTTTAAGGGTTGTATAACCTGGGATAGTTTGTGATCTTAATGATAAAGAAAATATTGTAAATAGGAAATGATTTACGGGTAGGAAGCGTTTTTGGAACGACTGGTAATGATAAAATTCGATTGTATAACAGAATCATTTTCAAGTTTTTTTCTGGTTTCGTAACCACATTATGATTACATGATTTACATAACAACATATCTTATGGTAAAGACGTTAATTATCCCAATCAAACAGTAAAATATTTATGTCACTTTGACCTAGAAATCTCTAAACAAGTAAAAAGTGAGAAATATCAGAAATGAGATAAAAGATTTAAAACCAATAGTTCATGACAACGGCAAGTAAAGTTAATGGACTTTATAATTTTGTATTTCCTAATCAATCATTTATGAAGGTTAAACAGTCACTACAATATATTTAATGAACTCACCTGGGTACTAACACCCGAAAGTGATGGACTTTCTGGAGGATTAGAACTGGAATTGTGCCACATCATCGACACAATTTTGTGAGATATAGAAGAGAAATAATTACTAAAGCAAACCTGTAAATAACGCAATACAACAATGAGTGTAAAATCTAGATTTCTACTACTACAATGTAAATTTTACATTTACACATTTGAGTATAAATTAAAAATATATCCTATAAAACAAAATGATGGGTATTAAATACAACTATAGGCAGATTTAAATACTATTACGGAGCGCTATTTCAGTTAATCAGCTTTAAGCAACCCAGAACATGATATGTGCGAGATGTCAGAGTAGAAATGTTAACAGCATCAATAGTAATTTAAAAAGTCCGGAAAAAAATATAAATTTAAGGGATAGAAAAGCGCATTTTTGGAACTCATGATCTAAGGGAAAATAAAAAAAATGAATACATCTCGGCCGTCGCAAACGATCTTGAACTATGTCACCCAAGGTTATCAACCAATGGTTATTCGGAATTAATACGGAGGCAACTAGACTGAGCATAGATAAATGCCTAATATTCTATATTCCTGAAAATTAACGTTGCACTCAATAAGCATGAAATGAATATTTAAGACAATGAAGCTTCCAATTTAAATGTCTTTGGATGCTACTGGTTAGATAGACACATCTTGAAGGAGCTTTAGTACTTAAGAAGTTTATTTTGTTTAAGTGATTCGCTGTATTCATCGACACGAAAAACTTGGTAAATAGTGAAGAAAACCAAGAAATATTGGGGGGAAACACAAACAGGAATGTTTATACGACACTAAATGATTGAAGAATTATTAACTGTTTATATATTGTCGCAACTCGATATTTCACGAGTACAGTGCGTTACCAGACGGAAATATTCTCTCTAAACTTGTACTGAGCATTTGGACTAAATATTTTCATGTCTTTCTCCCTTTTGAATTTTTTCAGTTGACTACTAGGTAATTGGTCTTTGATTAGCCATTCTTTAGATTCGTAGTTGTAAACATTTTTTTCCAAGTCGCTTACAAAACATTATTTTTTTCTAGTCTTAAATTAGGCCGAAAGTAATTTTCTCGTGAGCAGGTTGGTTTACTTAATATCCAGTTATCAATTACCACGATATACTACTTTAGAGTAGAGTAGAGAACTGTTAGAAAGAGGACAAGGGCCCCAAAGTAATGTAACACTCGTTTCTGAAACTAACCCGACCGTTGTTGCTACCTTGACGTGGTGGTCGGGCTTGCCTATCGTGATGAAGCAACCGAGCTATACTGACTGGAACAACCATTCCTCAAGGTCCTACCACGTCAGAAAGGTCGGTTGAAGAGCGGTAAGACTACAAGCAACAAACCCAAGGTCCGAAGGCGAAGTCGTACTGCTGACTTTACAGAGGTGTGACAGCAGTAAGGTGTTTCCTTCAGACAACCAGCATGACAGCGATGCTGCCTTCCCACAAGGAGGGGTGGGGTAAGAAAAGGTCGACCTAAAAATGCACACCTCGCCTTATCCCACGGATATCCGTCTCCGGCGGTAAGGTCTCAACAAGTACGGAGCTAACACAAAAATTACCCATAGAAAGGTCGTGTGTGACCGACCTCAAGCAGTTGTCCCTTGGGCACTGCGGCCACGCTCCCAGGTCACTAAGACCACTTCTAATCCGACTTCTTTTTCAGGTACCTCCAGAAGAACCCTTCCACGGTGTGGGCAACCGGGAAGTGACAACCGCCCTCATACCTCTAACAGCACTCAAGACCACTGGATTCATAATCAACCTCCATCTTCAATTCCTATTATTCCTCCTACATCAACTTCAAACTCTAAACTTCTTTCTTCGGCTTCCCCCTCAAGTGTCACCATAGCTAACGATTCTAGTGCTCAAAACACTGTCCCAAGTCTACTGAAACCTCGCTCCAAACTACACATTGGAGTCTTCAACGTACGCACCCTATGTCAAATCGGTCAGCAGGCTTCCTTGGCTAAAACCCTAGAATCTCGTACCATTGATGTATGCTGTGTCTCCGAAACACGCATACAGGATCCCAGTGTGGTCATTCACTTGACCTCACCTCGGCAACACGGAGAGCCAACGAGATACACCCTCCGTGTATCTGGTGACCAGACGGCCAGCTCTCGTGGACTGGCAGGAGTAGGGATAGCACTAAGCATGAGGGCTGAACAAACACTGTTAAAGTGGATCCCCGTCAACAGTCGTCTATGTGCTGTTCGGCTAAACGACTCCGCAAGAACTCGGAAGGGTAGGGACACACGTCGTTGCCTTTTTGTCGTTTCTGCCTACGCTCCCACCGACTGCACCTCAGATGAAATGAAAGATGAATTTTACAGAAAGCTATCTGAACTTCTTCAGAAAGCTTAACGTCCAGACATACCACTCGTAGCAGGTGACTTTAATGCCCAGATAGGTAGTTTAAACAAAACAGAAAGGTATTTAGGTGGGTATTTTAGTATTCCGACACAGCCAACAGATAATGGTGACCGTCTGCTGCAACTATGCTCGGACAATCGTTTATTTTTAGCAAACACAAATTTTAAGCATAAGGAGAGATTAAAATTGCTTCATATCTTTCTTTCTACGAACTTATTCTTTCTTCTTGTACTATATCCTTATTGCAATCTTTTTTTTATACATTACCACCTCTGAATTAACCACTTATATGAATCCGGTATCCATCTTGTTGTGTTAATGAGGTATGGCAACTTGGACCGATGCATAAATGTGCCTGGTCCTACGTTGCAGCTGACTGACTGACTGACTCTGAAATTAAATCTTATCAAACTATCGTCAAGAATCTAAGGCTGATATTTTATTTCATTTGGGACATACCAGTTGTATGGATATGCATTCTAATAAATGTTAATCTGAAACGTCTGCATCTTCACATCACAATAAATGTGAAAGCCATGCCAAGGGATTCATAGGAACGATCTATCTGGTTTTTCATACTAATAAAGCGCGATTAAAAATGCACTATCAAATAAAAATTATTAAGTCAGCCAGCTACAATTTAAGACCAGGAGCATATGTGCATCGGTCGGAGTTGCTACAACAAAATGAACACCGAATTCATAGAGATAGTTACTTCAATGGTAGTAATATGTAAAAGAAAGATTGTATGAGGATATAGTACGGGAAGAAAGAATTAGTTTGTAGAAATAAATGTACAAATTAATGTTAATCTTACAGTTTAAGGGGAAACAAAGAGTGTATACAGCTATGCTACAGTAATCGATTCTGAGCCATGTCACTCAGAATCACCAACCATTGATTACGATAGTCACGCGGACCACAACTAAGCAGTCTGTATCTACCAACATGGCTAAGACTAGAAGTTAGTAACTTCAAGCACTGATGCCACGTTTTGGTTTGGCCGCCCCTGACTTTCTCCCAGACGTCTCAAACACTAGTCAGTATTGCGCGTCGTGGTAATTGTTTAGGCATACGTAACACGTGGCTCAACCATCTCAGTCGATGAAGATTCACAAACTCATCAAATGATTTACCACCATTTCCTAATATCCTGCGCCTAACCTCACTATTACTTAGCCGGTGATCCCAGCAGATGCTAACAATATTTCTAAGACATCTGTAATCAAATACTAATAGCTTACACAGCTAGCCAAATGCACGAACTTCTTGACTACTTCTGCTCATTACAAAGAATGAGTGTAGGTTTTGGGGTCCTCCCAGTCTTGTTAAAATACTTTGCACTTGGAAGGTGCAAAACATACGCCATACTTACAAATGCTGATTGGCAACTGATTACGTAGTGATTATATGACTTGAGTATCACCGCATAATAGGTCAACATTGTCCACATATTCAGGATTGAGAAATTTTCAGGTAACAGATTCCCACCAGTATTACCTACACCCAGCAGTTATATAAGAAATTCCGTTTAAATTTGATCGGATAGTTCCACAGTATTTGAGCTCTGGGTTGATGTGAGACACTACGAAGGCAGAATGTATATGTAAAATCTCAACGAATGGTGGCTGTATGCCCTTTGTTTGTGTTTGTACATGGGGCCTTCAAAATGTTAATAAACTCAGATACATCCGCTTTAACAGACCATCTCATAGAACAGTCCTGTCCAACGCATTGGAGGCGGTCCTGATTTCAATAAACAACGATTACTGGCCTGCAATAAGTATGGTGGTGTCCCAGTATACGTCAGAGGTTGAAAATATAGTCAACACATATTCGAATAGAAAGGAACCTGGCCTGCTGGTACTAGTAATAACTAGAATAATCGGACATTAATATGCTTCAAAAAGAGAGTAAAAATTTATGTACAAAGGAATAATGGAATCCAAGATTGAAAGAGTGAATGCATGTAAATTAATCTCCAACCAGCGATCGCGGCTATTAAACGTACACAAACCAGACAATCTGTATCTACCCGCGTGGTTTAAGCTAAAAGTCAATGACTTCATAGGAACTATGATGTTGAAGGGTGGGTTTGAGGTTCAATAAAAGTAGCGAAAACTCAAGTGTAAATGCAACTGAAAACAAATAACCATTAATACAACCAACAGAAAGACATGTAACAAGAGAGCATTCTGCTCTAGTTAGTAATGACAGCATGGAGAGAAAATAAAGCATATGAAAACTGGGAGATTCGAAATGTTACTAATTGGAGAAAAAACTATACGTTCAAAAAGGGACACAGAACGAATATTCAAGTACTAACAGGACGTTTTATTGAATAATTGTTAGACTACTCATTTTTACAACTCATTAAATGTGCTAGAACTTTTAAAAGATCAGTATAATCAAAGAAGTACAACCAACAAAGTAGACAGTAAATCTCATGAAGATTTAGGCGAGACTATAATTTATAGACGAACCAATCTGATTCAGGGTAACAGGTCTTGGATTTTGGGGCGAAATTTACCCACCCATTTGTCTAAGCAGAGCTTTGGCATTTTAGCTGGTGTCAGCTCTTGATGAAAACTCCTATTCCTAACCATCAACTGTAAATCATAATTATTACTCTTCACACGGGTTTATAACCCTCATTCAGCTCTAGTAAGTTGGTGGACATCTTTAAGGTCTTACCAAGATTTAATAAAATCATCTTTGATTAATTTGACTCCTACAAATTTAGAGATTTACAATCTCATCCAATACTTCTGTACTTATACAATCTCGTCTTACTGGATCACTGGTAATGATATTGCTTAAAACCATATGGATTTTATTTCCTAAAACACGACTGTTTAATGGCATAATATTTAGACGCGGTAATTTTACTTCATTGACTCAAGCCATGAACTTCATGAAACTTATGACTAAGGTTTCAGCAAATATCAATTCAACTGCATAATTAAAAGAGACAGAAGTGGAAGGCAAACATTTACAATATGGATGGCAGGTTGGTTTTTCTGTGTTGGTTATTGCAGTATGCTTTCAGAATAGATCCACTTTCTCTTTGGATGCACTCGGTGATGACGCTGGCGGCAATTGTTTGACTGATATCCGAACTTTCGGTGGAAGTTCATGTTTCTTTTTCTGATAAAGAGGGGTGCTTTGCTTGAAGTACACAAAAATTATTAAATGCATAGCTTACATGGTGTCGGCTTGGGTGGAAAAGGTAGGGAAATATAAGACGACTTATATTAAGAGCGAGGAGTTAGTAAAGTTTATGAGAGTATCCTGGATTTATATTCAACTTTATGTTACGTGAAAATACCATTCGAGGGTCATTTTTTTACGAAGGTTAAATTTAAATGAATCCGAATAACTTACTTTGTAAATACCTCCTACAGCAACATCAACAGTGACTCCATCAGAAGATGAACGGTGAAATGATCTAATAACTTTTTTGTGAGGATCCTCAAGCTTCATGTCTACATCGTAATTCCCACCGGATATTACCTGATTTTGTTAAATACTTAGTAATTTTAACTACATACGTTGAACGCTAAAGTAAAGCTATCACCAATAGAAAACTCCTCATAAAAGCATTGAGAAGACCTGTCTTCTAATTCAAAAGTCAATGAGTTTACTGAGGCTTGATGCGCGAACGCAAAGAGACACAGAACAAGAATCATCCCGATAACGTCATACGACCTTCTGCTAAGGCCTGTGTTTTATATTTTCACAACGTTCAATGTCCAATAACGGATGCGTTAGTGCATAACAATTAATCTCTGCCCTCAAATGTTCGACATCACACAGGCGATCTTCCAGTCGACAGTGATCTCGTTGATTTCTTATCAATCACCAGAAATATCCCTTTTCAGTCATCAGTTTGGAATATTAAACACTTCCAAGGATACGAATCAAGGTCACCACCTTCGTTCCAACTGATGCCCTTCTGTCCAGACAACATCAAAGCCTGGTCTAACTACACAGAAGCCAACTTCTACGAGCACGGCGTGAATGACACGCGTGCACAATTCCTCTCAGTAGTCAAGGCACTACCACGCGAATTCAACAGGTACGTTACACCTAATATGTTTACTAATGATGTTTCTGAACCTTACGAAATCCTGAAACGTTCTATCCTTAAACGCGGAGACCTAACTGGTCGAAAAAGGTTAGGCCAACTCCTTATTAAAATCGACGTGCAACACGGTTCTGCGACAGACATGTTGCAACGAATGAGAGAGGTTATCGTCCAAAGAACCTTCGATGATGGCTTATCCAAACTTCCTCAACAGGTGCAAGCTGAGCTAGTCTCGTTTGAAAACAACACCTTAAGTGAGTCGGCTGCATCCGTCGGCCGGATTTTAGAAATCAAGAGATCTAATGCCAAGGTTTTTTCAGTCAAAGAAAAGCCTCAAACGACCCATAATGACATTACAGAGTTATGTCATACACTTCACGTATGCGATATGTCTCTAGACCACGAGAGACAGATAGCGACGACTGGTGCTAGTATCATAACCAGTATGGAAAGTCTTCCAGGAATTGTAGAAAACCCTGCAAGTTTCTCGACTCAAAATCCACCGACACAAAAAACATCTCGGGAAACTTCCACGTCGGCTCGCGTTAACAGCAACCGTAACCGCCTGTTGTACGTCACGGATGTGACAACGAGAATTCGCCACCTCAACGACACTGGCGCAAAAGTCAGCGTTCTCCCAGCGAATTCTAACGACCGGTTTCATGAATTGGTTTTAAATCTCCAAAGCACGCCGACTAGCTCCTGAAAAGCTAAGTTTGGCCAGAAATGAATTTAACCACATGATAGACTTATGTATCATAAGACCATCCGAAAGCCAATCGAGATCTCCGTCGCACATGGTCCCTAAAAAGGACAGAAACGATTGGCGTCCAACTGGTGACTATCGGCGATTGAATTCCCTGACCATTCCTGATCGTTTCCCGTTGCCTCACATTCATAATTTGACAGCTACCTTGAACGGTACAACTGTCATTTCGAAAATCGACTTGGCTACAGATGATATTACGAAAACAGCTATCATAACTCCCTTCGGACCTTACGAATTTTCGTGAATGCCTTTCGTTCTAAGAAACGCTGCACAAACATTCCCAACGTTCTAAGACGACGTTTTTTGAGGTCTCAACTTCTTACATGCTTATATTGACGACTGTCTCATAGCAAGTCCGGATAGAGAATCGCATCTCCAGCATCTGGATCTCGTTTTCGAACGACTACAAAACCACGGCATTACTGTAAACGTTCAGAAATGCCAAATCGGAGCTGACTCATTAGACTTCCTAGGACACACTATAAATCCTCAAGGCATTCGACCCCTTAGAACCAAAGTGGTGGCCATTCTGGATTAACCAGAACCGACCACCATCAAGCAATTGCGCACGTTTAACGGTCTGGTAAGTTTCTATAGATGACTCATACCGAAACGTGCTTTACTTATGAAACCTCTTCGTGGAAATACGAAATCCGTCAAGCTGGACGACATCGCGCGTAAAGCATTCTCCACAGTATATGAACTTATCGCTCAAGTAAACAATGCTTGCTCATCAGGACACTGAAGCACCCATCAGTATCGCAGTACACGCATCCGACTCGACAATCGGAGGAGTCTTACAACAATGGGTTAACCACTCTTGGCAACCTTTGGCATTTTTCTCCAGACGGTTGTTAGACACTGAATCGAGGTACAGGGAACTCCTAGATATGTACTGTGCTGCACGGCATTTTCAACACTATATTGAAGACCGTGAATTTATCCCTTTCATTGACCATAAACCGCTTACCTTCTAACTAAGCTCTTCTTCAGACAAGTACTCTCTCTGTGAGTCTCGACAACTGGACTACATTTCGCAGTTTACTTCAGATATTCAACATATTTCTGAAGCAAACAATGTAGTTGCAGACGCCTTGTCTCGAATAAATTCCTTGAACAGTTTCCAAGGAATCGACCTTCTTAAACTCGCACAGCTTCAAAAAGAAGACACTGATCTTCAGCACGAGTTATCGTCCACAACCCTTAAACTACGCATCAAGCAAATGGGAACAGGTAAGGAAACCTTACTTTGTGACACATCTACAGGTAGGGATCGCCAAATCGTGCCGAGATGTTATCGACGCAATGTCTTCAATACATTGCACAAACTTTCTTATCCAGGTGTTCGTGCAACCATCAAGCTTATAGCAGAACGGTTTTGCTGGCCTAGTATGAATAAAGACGTGAGGGAGTGGGCACGCTCCTGAACATCATTGCTGAAACAGTGGCTCGCGCCTTTGTCGAACGATGGATGGCAAACTTTGGCTGCCCTTCAACTATGACCACCGATCACGGATTTTTCCCTTGTCTGAGCACACTATTAGGAATTACTGGCTTCCGGACGACCGCCTGGCACCCAAAAGCAAACGGATTAGTAGAACGCTTTCACCAACAACTAAAAGCTTCACTAACAGCTGCAAGCATTTCTCAGTGGACTAGCAATCTTCCACACGTCTTACTAGGTATTTGCTATGCAGTGAAAGCTGACATTGGATACACTGAGGCTCAACTCCACTACACAATCTTAAGCAACGTTTGGCGTTCATATCCTAGTGCCTTGCTGCTCTTTTGTTTCTCTTTTTCTTCTTCTTCAGAAATTCGCTCTGAGGGCACAGTTATGAAAATTCCGATGTCTGGAACAAACTTAACGTACGCGTCCCCTCAAGGTCACAGTTTACAGCAAGCACTCAACGGGTATACTTTATATCAACTATAAACTCAATAAGTTGCGAAGCATTTTGTGAATCAACAAATGTTTTAATTTATAGATCATGTTTGTAAAAATGGCGTGTACCTGCGCATTCAGAAATATATATTATTTATTTTATGGAACGACACTCCGACTTCCAGGAGAATTCGTGGATCCTTCATCCTCTTCAATGAGCATGGATCTAACCTCTTACACGAACAGGCTTACAAACGCAATGCGTTCAGTTAAACCTGTTTACACTCGACCTCAATCAACTGATGTTTTCGTTCAACCCGACTTACGATATAGTACACACGTTTTCGTTCGTCGAGACTCGCATCGACGACCATTCGAATCAGCATACGAAGGACCTTTCAAAGTTCTTCAACGCGAACCGAAGTACTATATAATCGATAAAAACGGAACCAACGATAGCATCAGCATCGATCGCCTCAAAGCAGCGTATTTAGAAGGAAATCCTATCTACGTGGATTTTCCTTCGGTACAATCGAACGACACGACTCCGACACTTATAATGCCTCATCCGACAGCCAACACACACGATGATATTTCGACAATATCTAAAAATAAACCTAAAACGACGCGTTCTGGAAGAAGAGTAAAATTTCCAGAACATTTAAATAACTATTGATTTTTTAAAAAAACATTTTGTAAAAATCGCTTTTACGCTATTTTCCTTTTTTCGCCCACTTTGTATCTTAAAGCGCGTACGAGTTTATTTTGACATGCACTTACATATTCATTTTTTCTTTTCCAGGACGGCTGGAAAGTACGACAAAAAGAACGATGAGGCTTACGAAGAACCAAAAGTTTTCATTGTACATTGTTTTTTTACTATATTGTATTTCATGATCCTCTATAGTAAGGCATTTTCACTTATATTTGCTATTTTTCTCCTTCGGAGCTTAAGTTTTGTAGCGGTAAATAAATCCCTAAAATATGTTTTTGACATTGGATGCTGACCACATTAGTTTCAATGGACTCACCTAGGTGAAAGCGCACGGTCATGCATCCGCACCAAATCACGAGTGGGAACTCCGTGCTCAATAACCCCTGCAATGGCTAGCCAGATTAGATCAGACTATCCTTGATTTATTGATAGCCTATCAAATTTATCTTCGAACTTCCTGGCTTATGTCTTTTGATTTCACTTGGTGGGTACGCTTCATATTAGGTGTTACTGGTTAAAGCGTTGTCAAACTCAGAATACCTGTGGCATATTAAGTTTTATGCACTTCCTTAGATCGTCTTACCATATAACTTTTAGTCTATAAGTAGCGTAAATAGCCTTTCTACAAATACTTACTCTATAACTACAAGCACAACTAGCAGAAATAGAGGTTTTAATTCAAGGGTCAATAATAATTTGAAAATCCCTCGTTTCTAGCATCTGGATTATTAGAAAGATCGAGACGACATCAAATAGAGAACCTTAGAATAATGCGTACAACATGGATCAGTCGACCCATACTCCAAGACGGTGTCTACAACTAAGGAAGCAAGATCACGCTCCAGTCCAGGTCCCTATTCCTAGTAAGACTAGTGCGCAAAAAATAAATAGAAGACAAGGGTGTTCCAAACTGTCGTAATGCAGACCACTGGGGATAAACAACGCAATAAACGATGATTGTATCGTGTGCTTGTTGCTCAAAAAACTTAGTACTCGGTAATAGAGCGTAATTTCCACAGTGACTAGGTTCACTGTCTCCTCAGTACTGCAGTATCTAGGCAGTACTACGGAATAATCTTAAGTCACTTCTGTCTGTGGTTCCAGTATGTATGCTCACAATGTAGAAAAGATATACTAGCATAAATAACAAGAAAGAAACGTGAATTTCAAGTGAAAAAAACACTATCAGTCCCTAAAAGTGCATCCAAATCGTCAAACACGTGCTCAAGTAGA